TGTCTTTTAAATGAAAAACTTCATGGAGCTTAGCATAAATTCCTGAAATGAATCTGTGATCATGCAGCTCTTGAGTACGTGGAAGGCAATGGTATAAACAACATTTCTCAAACGAGGGGACACATAGATGAGATAACCGCAAGAAGATATTTCAAAGATATAGTCGCAGGTCTAACTTATCTGCATAGCCATGTGAGTTATTTTAGAATGAGAGCAAAAGCAATATGTTTATGACCCTATACACTCTTCTCTCAAAAGTAGAGGCAAATTATTCAAGGAGCATTCTGTTAGTGTGACTTAGGCTGAATTCTCTTTCACTTATTCTCTTGACAGAATATTGCGCATGGAGATGTAAAGCTGGAAAATCTTCTCCTCACAAGAAGTGGAAGGGTGAAAATTGGAGATTTCAGCGCATGTCATGCCTTTGAGGTAATGCTACATATTAATAAAAGGAAAATGAAGAATTGGCATGAAAAAGATCAGTTCCATATTTTATTGTGACTGATTTTGTTCAGAAACTATTATCTTTGTACCTCTAGTGAGTGTCTGCTCCCTCATAAAAATGGTTACTTGTGTGCATGAGACAAAGGATTTTGTGCTCATGTTGATATTTAACTTCAAATTTTGTAGGATGACAATGATGAGCTCTGGTCCTCAGGAGGTACCGTGGAACCCCTGCCTTCATGGCACCTGAATGCTGCCTTAGTAAGTGTATTAAACTATTAATCCAACTATCAAAGAATTTCTGTACTTTCAAATTCCATATACATGCTTGTGACATTGTTGAAAGCAATGTATCAAATACCTGGCTACTAATGTTGCGTAGTTGATAACAAATAAAGTTTACAATGGAAAAGCAACTGATATATGGGCTGCCGGCGTTACTCTGCACTGCATGGTAGTAGGCTACTATCCTTTTCTATCAGATAGCTTACTAGAGACTTACAACAGGGTAACAACTTTGTATTACCATAAAATCTTTCTGCTACAATACAATTTCCCTGCATTTATCAAAATTTACCCTTTTTTTTAAACAGATTGTGAACAGCCCTCTAATACTCCCAGAAGAACTAGATCCTGAACACAAAGATTTGCTCCAAGGCCTTCTATGCAAAGGTGCTAGTCTTTCCTTGAAAAAAACCCAAAATTTGAAGTAAGAAAGATTAACATGTGGTAAGATTTTATTTTATTTTATTTATTTATTTATTTATTTTTTTGCTTTTGCATTTTTACAGATCCTAAGCAAAGTTGGACATGCTAGCAGAAAATCCATGGATTACCAGGGGAAAATCTAATTAATTGGACATGGTACATACACACCATCTGGTACTTTTACAACACTTAAAGAAAAAAAGTGTTGTTTTCTCAAACTATATAAGAAAGAACACAGAAAATTAAGATTCATTTTCCTCAAATATGGGATATTCTTGTGGCAAAGGCGACCTCGCACCTCTGGCTGACGGAGATGGCTCGCTCCCCTGAGGTAAGTCAGAGATGGAAGCCAGGATCCCGCGAATGCCAACGGAACGAGCAGGCTTGAAGCTGAGAGAAAGAAACAGTCGGAGTGAAAGTAAAGTACCCGTTTGATTGAATACCCGAACATCCTCCGACACTCCACTTTCTCCATCACTGGACAAAGATCCATTTTTGTCACTAAATCCGCTGCTTTCCCAAGAAACCCGGGAAGGGGCGGCCGGTGGCCGAGTGAAAGGAAGTGGGTTGCCATCGGTATGGGAAGAATTAGAAACAAAAGCAAAGAAAAGAGAGGAAAACCGGGAACTGGAAGACGACGACTTGAGGAAGTTTTTTATCCAAGGAGAGGAACTGGAAGATGGGTTTGGCACCAAGAAAGCCGTACGAGCAACAAAAGCAAATGTGACGCCATAAGCAAACACCATCGTTCTCCCTGTGGCGTACAGTGAAGAGATTGCCTTGGCTTCTGCTTTCGTCGGTGAATGATGCTTCGTTGCTGCTGACGGAGATTTTGAATCCGTCATTGCCAAGTCTGAGAAAGAGTTTGGAAGAGTAGAGAGTGAAGGTGGTGCAGTGATCGAAGAAGAAGATGGACCAGTTTTCTGTGGAATGATCTACTTGGGTTTTTGGTTAATTACGAAATTGCCACTGTGCTGGTTAAGCCGTTAATTCCATGATTTCCAGCTGAAATCTTCTTTGGCATTAAAAAAAAGGCTCCACCAACTGTAAATTTTTTTTTTTAATATTGTCTTTGTTTAGTTATTTAGAAAAAAAAAACAAAATAAATGTAATAATGAATTTGATTTTATTCAGTCCAAACTAGAAAAAATTTTATCAAACTGAAACTTGGGAAAAATGTTTATCA